TATAAAAAATTAAATGTAATAAATACTAAATAAATATTTTTTGATAGGCTTAATTTATGACAATGTCTTGATATATATAATTAATAATAAAAAATAAACATATTATATAATAAATAAAAATAATAATAAAAAAAATATTAATTTAAATAATAATAATTAATAAAAAAAATATTAAATAATGCTGAATTTTGTTTACGATTCGACATCTCATAATATTTCGGTAATTATATTTTAAATCTTAAATATATACTTATTTAAAAATTATCTATGCCGCCCTATTTTCGTAGAAATAAAATTTATTAATTTATAAGTTATGTGTAGTTACAAAAAACATCTTTCCTGTAATTTTGCAATACAATCCCTGTCTGTCAAAACAAAACGTACAAAAATTCTTTTTTTCATCGGATTGTAATATTTTTTTATGAATTTAATCGTAAAATATTAATCACCGCGTCTTTACAGTTTGATTGCATTAATAATATAATCTTTTCAACATCAAATTTTTCTCCAAAAAAGGTCGTTCAGTTATTTGTGAGTAGTATCTGTTCCCGCAGATTGTAAGCTGCATATCAATCGTAACCATGTACCAAATAAAGCAACTGAATAAGTAACTGGGAAAAGGCCTACGTCGAATACACGTTTGAAATGTCTAAGCAGCACAAACCTTGGACATCAATCAGCCACTGAATTGGCCTTAATAATCACCATCTGTTTGGCGAAACTGCGACAAAGAAAACTGCAATGTCTTTCTCCGAATCTATATGAATCGCATACGAAATATTTTCTATATTCTTATATATTCTTATATATAAAATATTTCTAAATATATATATATATATTTTAATTATAGGGTTAATTTTTAAAATATCAAATATTAAAGTCTGGAAAATTTTAGAGAAGAAATACTTTTCTCAGTTATTAATTATTAAGAAATTGTTTATTTGCATATTTTCATATGCAAATAAACAATTTCTTAATAATTAATAACTGAGAAAAGTATTTCTTCTCTAAAATTTTCCAGACTTTAATATTTGATATTTTAAAAATTAACCCTATAATTAAAATGCTATTTTAGTAAAGTTTTATCGAAATGAAATGAGAAATAAGGCTCTGGCATCTATTTAGGTTAATTAAAAAGTTCCATTTTTAATTGAACAGTATCAAAAAATAGCTAAAGCGATTATAAGCAACTCGTTTTATGATCTAAGCACGAATATAGATCCCATTTCCTGTATAGACAGAATTATCGTACGCATTTTTTACGATTTTAGTATAAGCAAAACAATTTTCATTATAAATAAATATTACGTCGCTCAAGTACATAACATGACATGCGCTTATTTGCATAAACGAACACACGTATACATATAATAACCATCCAACTACTTCCTCAAAACATTAACCTTGAGATAAAACAGCAAAATTATACGTAAAAAATAAAATGTCGTTATGTATGTTAAAGTCAAATAATAAAACGAAGAAACACTTTCAAAAAATAATGAAAAATAAGCGTTTATCATTTCAATATGCAATAATATTTTTATTAAACTTATAAAAAATCATAATGAATTAATTATTTGATTTATTAATAATTGATTAATAACTAATTAAAAATTAACATTTCATACGTGTAAATATGATAAATTGCGTTTTTTTGTTCATTTTTCCTCTCACTTGCAGCAATGTATCATTACAGTTAACTCTTTCTACAAAAACAAAAATAATAAAAATACAAAAAAATGTGTGAAGAAATAGCATAAAATTGCAAATGAGTTTTATTTCTATAGACATGAATGTTCTCTCATAGAAATCAAGTTCAAGTGTTCATGAGAAAGAAAGAACGAACAAATAAGAGAAGGAAAAAAGATGAAGCTAAACTAGGCAGGTAAATAGATATAGTCTGCCGTAACAGGGCATCGAACTTTTACTCTCGACCGAGAATCATGTGTAGTGCATATATACAGCGAATACGACGGTCAACGAATCGTTCGTTCACATTACCTCACTTCACAAGTAAAAATAATGTTTAAGACAGAATGCCTTAAACATATCAAAACCACTTTTAATTCATTTTTAATTACATGGATTTTTTTATCAATTTAGGATCAATATTTCTTTAATAAAAATGTCGACAGGTTAATAATTTTGAATTACATATTCGAATGAAATCGAACTTTTCGGAAACTAAACTTTGGAAAAAAAAATTTTGAATAAAATTTAAAAATTTTTATTTTAAGTAAAATTTAATGGATTTATAGCTAGAAAATTGATTACAAAGATATTTAACGTTAAAAATTAAAACCAAAAATAATAATTTTACTCGACATTTGTGTCCAAAGAAATATCGATTTTAAATTCACATATTCTTCACTGCGAAAGAAAGACACCTTATGTGTGTTCGCGTGTCTGAATCATAATTTGATTAGTCAGTGCTCATTAACTGATAAATACAGCATCTGCCCATATGATTGACTCTATAATCAATATTGATTACAATTTCTGTGACGGTCATTCCACGGTTTGCTTCCTTCGCGTGTGGAAAAAAAAATCGATACCGAGAGCTTTATTTATATCCGACTCATGCATAAAGTGACGAGTTGCCACTGCAATCGAGCGAAGATGAAAGAGAATTTTCAACGACTGTGCCGTTATAGTAACAATCATGTAGATAGACTCGATGCAGAGATATACTTAGTAACAGATATCATTTTGTATATTTGTGCGATCGTGACATTCGCCAACCAGCTAGAACGAATTCGTTGTTAACTTTCTTCTACGTACTCGTTTCGTATTCGCAACGCTATTTATACAAGATACATGCAATTTTTATGTATGCTCAGTAGGCGAATGGAATCGTCACGTCCTCGAATATTGTTTGAAGATATCTTGAAAAATCTATGTGTTTTTTACGAGCAATCGTGAGCGAGTATTCCTCGAAATCAACATAAAAGATAAGGCAATTTTACAACAAGTCACACACGTTCTGCTGAATAGTAGTTTTCCTAATCTTTAGATAGCAATGCGAATGTAAAATGCAAAATTTAGCCGACCGAATCCAGTTTCAAACGTAATAAGAATAGATAGACATGCGTATATTAATATCTTTTATAATCTTCCCTCTCTTTTCCTCTTTCTCTCTTTGATCAACATGTGATATTAAAAACTGCAAATTTCATAGGATTTCTTGTGACGTCAGTTTTCATATACTCTAATTACCATAATTTCAGTTTAATTAAACGAGTCTGAGACATCGAAGGCATCTCGCCAATTATTTAACTTGGCTTATGTAAGATTAGACAAGGTTCGAAGACAAACATAAAGATTAACGCGACTGCAGCTGAATGCGAAAATAAAATCGCGCCACAGCCGTTGTATGCTATGTGTTACAGAAGTCAAAATCTACGTTTATGCAGGACTTATGACAAGCCTTTATTTGCTGGCATTTAATGCAGAATCGTCAGATTTGCGTATAAATTAAATAAGTATAAATTAAACAATAATAGTTTGTGATGATTCGGAATTGTCATAATTTCAATTTACGAATCTAATTTTTACCACATTAATTATCACGTTTTAATTATATAAATTACATAAATCTTCGATAAATAATAATAATAGATAATAATAATAATAATAGATAATGATAATAATAGAATAATAATAATAATAATAATAATAATAATAATAATAATAATAATCGAATAATAATAATAATAGATAATAGATCATACAAATTTCGATCAACATACACACAGACATATACACACACACTTTATTACAAACTTGCTCTTGCTGTATTAAAAAAAAGAAAAAATTAGCACTTATTTAATATTTAACGAGGGCAAAGTATCACAGGCTGAGCACAGCAAATCTAAACACGCTACTGGTTTAACCGGAGTTCCCGCGTAACCATCATGAGTTTTGCCTAACGCAAAGCAAGAGATACATAAACCCGATTCGTCTCGTACGTCTATTCTTACGTTCATAAGGTTATTTACACTCGGTATCTGACACCATTTTCGTAGCTCGAGGCACGGTATTCAGAGCCAAGCTCGACTATTTGTTCGCCAAAGTCTAGTGAAGCTTAAGTGCCGAAAAGTGTACTTTGTCTTTCGCGAAAAACGCAAATAAAAATCTTAAGGAATAATAGAATAACTTTAAATTATTTAAATTAATCGAAGTTTATGTAGTTATAGTTTGAGAGAAGAACCATGTTAAAAACAACCTTTTTATGTCATATCAAATTTCGCTTAATTGTTTTAAAATTTATTTTGTTTCGATCGCTTTTTATACGTTTATTATTTTTATATTATATTTATATATTATTTAAATATTATATAATCATTCAAATATTAAATATATGTATAAGAAAATCTTAAAATATTAAGATCTTACGATAAAAGAGAAAAATTTAATTAATTTAATTTTATTTGATTACAAGCACTCAACATTTTTATCACAAATCATAATACTTTTATATAAAAATTTACGAAACAAGAATATTTTGTTTTGATAATAGATGCAAAAACATTCGGAAGTTGTGTTAGAATTGTCAACACGAGCAATAAATAGATCGGAATTATTCCAAATTTTATTTTATATACATTCTGTATTTTCTTCTTATTTTTTTTTCTTCATTATTTTAAATGATAATAGGAAGATATAGAATTTTTTGTTCTTGTGTAAAAACCATAAATTTCTACGTACAGAATATATAAAAGATATAAGCAAAAAATGTGATAATAAAAATATATAAGTAAAATATAAACAGAAAAATATAAATGGCAAAATATATGAAAAATGTATTATAACTATTATTATAACTATTTATAAACTATTTTTTATCATAAACATACTTTCTATATTTTTTTAATATTTACAATATTTTATATTTATTAATTTACTATATTTGTACTAATCAATTGTGTTAAATAGTATATACACGAGAGTGAGGTGTTTTGATACGTGTCCCCTATAATTCCTTGCAATCGCAAACTTACCCGTTTCTGAAAAAGATGGAAAGGTGCGCGTTGGCATTTGCATTAAAACGCGCGACAGCGCGACACGTTTCACACACAGCAATAAACACGATAAGCACTAAGTAAATTATGCGAACCGCGCAACGCAACGGACCGAAAGGGACTGGACGATGATCGCGATCCACCACCATGCGCCAATTCTCCCTCGTCAGCCAATACTCGCAAACGTAAACATTCGCAACAGCTGATCGCCACCACTGTCAAACTACGCGCTCCGATTTTAGCTCCAATGGCGGTAGCATGAGACTTGCTATTATATACATACATACAACATGAATATATTTACTATCGCGAATATAGATACTATTTCGATTTGACAAACCTGTCATATATTTCCAATAAACATGTTTCGTTAAATATTATCCTAGAAATATTCGGAAGCTAGTAATTTATTAATTTGACATTCAAAATTTTGTGTACGTGTAAAAAAAAGTTTTAAAGAGCGATAGCTAAAAAAATTTTAAGATTTTTACTTTTTTTCTTCTTTCAAAATATTGTATTTTATGGAAATAAATCTGCAGTGAATATGTTAAAGATAAAAAAATCCGTGTACGTCATAAACTGTATAATTGTAAAGAAATATTTTTTACAAAAGTCGAATCTTTATCTTAAATTTTAGTTTAATTCAAATTTAAATACATTATTATATTTATTATATTATATTATTATAAGGTGTCATGTGATTTTGTCATAGCTTTGTTTTCACAATTGTAACCAAGATAGAAATCCATTAAAAAATTACATTTTGTATTCTTAACAATTTCATCTATTAAAATCTAAGGAACACTGTTTAAATAGGAATGTATATATAAGTACATAAGCGCATATATACATGACACAGTAATTGCTGCAAGGTTTATTTCATTACTAAACTTTTGTGTCTTGCAGCAGTATTATTAGATATTTTAACACATCTATATATTTTCAATCTATATATTCAAGACTTAATAAGCAAATGACCTGATATCTGATATCTGATATTATTAAATAATTCATCAATTTGATATATCTTCTTGTCAAATAAAAAATATTTTATATACATTTCTGCAATATTTTAATATAATATGAATGATTAAACAAATATAGAAAACATAAATTATAAATTTATAAATTTATAAATTTATAAATTTATAAATAATATAAATATGTCCCGTTTCTATAATGTTATATATAATTTATATTATATGGATGGATATGGTTTCTTTTATGTAGAGGGAACTATAATTATTCAAACAAAACTCATATAAAATGGATAAAAATAATTCATCCTATGTTTATAACATATTGTAACTATTAGATCTCAAATATTTCATGATAGATATATATCTCCCAATTAAAAAATTATTCCAAATTGGATTTTCTAAATAGAATTTAAAATTTGCATAATCCAAATTCAATTTCAGGCAAATTAATTTACTGTTACTATTTAAATAAAAAATGTTTAGTACTTTAAACTTAATATTGAGCATTTCTACCTTAATGTGTCATATGCTTGATAATTTGAAATACTTATTTACTTGTTATCTATTGATGAAGTAATTTCTTCATTATTTACAGTCCCCATAAAAGGTTCTATACCCATAGTCCAAATTACCATTGTATCTGTATTTATAGTCACTTCAGATGTCAAATTATCATATGTATTCGAAGTACTAACTAAACCACCAAATTGCATAGTTGTGTTATCTGAAGCACAAGAAAAGCAGATAGAATTAGAAAAATTGCTCAAATATATTACATTATATTTTGATACAATAAGTGACAATTTATATTATTCATGTTTATATGAATGAGAGATATAAAACATACTTAAATTCCATTTCAAGCCAGATGTTGATATACAATTAACTGGACGCCCAAATGGTAGTAAACCACACCAGGAGTGTTGTTTTACTAAAATCTCTGGTATATATATAGTGTGTAAACCAGGTTTTAAGGACCACGTTAAAGAATTGCTTGCAATTTGTATTACCTATATAAAAAAAATTATTTTGACAAAGATATTCTCTTTTGAACTTGTTTGCTAAATAAATCCATCACCTGTACATTTCCCACAAGCTTGTCACTTTTGTACAATGTATTAATATTGCCAATGATATGATCAAATCTGCCTGATGTTTCTGCAAGCACGTATATTTCACCTAACTGCCAACAATTGATATATATTTTTCACTATATTTTTCACCTTATCATATACATAATAATGATTTTAAAGAAGAAAAAATAAATCTTAAGGATTACATTTATATTCTTCGTCTTGGCATAGTGCGCAACTTGTAACAAGGCTTTAGTATAATCCGTATGGTTTTGATCAGGTGTCTTAACAATGGTAGATCCTATATTTTTCACTTTTTCAATTATATTAGGCGGACAACTATCCATATCTCCCGTAACAAGATCAGGTATGTATTGCTTGTGCTCGTCGTTCGACAAATCTATCCCGTGCTCTTCCAAATACTTTAGCCATCTGTGAGTTCCGCCGTCGACGGTGACCGTGATTTGAGCTAATTGTAAAATAATCACATATAAATCATTTAAATTATTCCGTTTGTGAATTATTGATGAAAAATTCGAGAAAATGTCTCGCAAAACATATATATATATATATATATATATAAAATGCGTATTTTCAAAATACCTTTCTGCCAGAATCGGAGCATAATATCATGCTTCCAATATATGGGACGATTCAGCACGATCACCGCGTACTCGCAACACGTGTCACATTGAAATATATCGAAGGGATTCCATGCTGTCCTGCCGGAATTCAAAGATTCTTGTTGCATCTTGCGATGCGAGGTAACATATCTTATCACTGAAATCACGTTAATCGCCGGATTAAGGTTAAGCCGCGGGAAAATACGAGTTTGACCTAAGATGGTTTTGCCATGAGCTCCCTATCATTCTGCGAAATGTGTTATCCGAGATCCGAGAGAGAAGGAGTCTATTCCTAAACGCTCTTTCGCCCGCACTCATTCTTACGTAATCGTTGTTCAACCTTGCCCGTGACGAAACTCTGTTTTGGAACGCGCATCGTCGTAAACATACATCGTAAAAAATACGTCACCGGTCTCATGCTTCATTATTATGGATTATTTAGCCCGATAACTATTGTTAAAAAATGCTGTTTTGCGTTAACGCTATTATCTCGTAAAATTCAATGTTTTTAGATTAATTTTTAAAAATTATCGCGAAATAGTATCGTGAAGTGAAACGGATATCCAAAATGTCCAAGGATATTTTTCACGAAGAATTATATTGCAAAATATGCCGTCGAAAATAAGCGAAATACGCAATATCGTGTGTTCGAGAAGCACGCCGTTTCCGCTCGAAACGTAGCTAACGCGCGAAACGCACTTAGCTGCACTCTCTGCACTTGCCGTATTTAAAATGGAGCAACTTTGCAGTCTCGCGCTTAGAAAGGAAAATGATAAAAAATATTAACTTTGCAAAATGATTAAAAACCGCAAGAATATGTGTTTCTTTCAATTACGATATTTGCGATATCATATTATCTTGTTTCTCTTTTTTCCTTTATTTAAAATATGATATATATAGCTACTTTAAGAGCAGAAAGTGCAAGAGAGCTCGATCAAAACAAACAGATGTCACGTCTTGCAGTTCTGCAGTCATCTGCAATTTGCCTGCAACTTGCTACGATTATAATAATATTCATAAGGTTCGTAATAACATTTTCATTGGGCTATATCAATTTTTAAATCGATATATATACGATGTATTTGATATATACGATGTACGATATAATTAATATTATTACGCAATATTCCACTTTCGAAAAAATACATGCATTAATGTGTTTCTGTATAATTAATCTCTTTTTCCAGAGAGCAATCGATGGGGTCGAAAATCTGGAAATGGAAAAATATACCGGGCGTTCCTGGGCGATGCAATGATGTACTTTATACACCCCCAAAGTTGCAACCAACACACGATCTTCTTGTATTCTTTGGCGGTGATGTCCAAGTATGTTCAGAATTAGTTGATGATAATTATTATAATTTATTATTTTTATATTTTTTTCAACAATGACTATTTACGCCTAACGTCTTTTAAAAAACTTGATATTTCTTACAATTACAACTTATAATTATCTCTTTCTTTTAATGTTACTTCTTTGGAATCACAATATACTACATATCACATTTTATAAAAATAGTTATATAAAGAGACAATTTTTTTAAAATAAAATCAATACATCTTATTTTTTAACAAAATTACTTATTTAAACTTTAAACGACAGGATTAACAAGATTATAACTATCACTCTTACCGATATATTTTATATTAGCTACATTGTAAAGTTATTTTCGAGAAAAATTATTTTAGGACACTCGAGAAAATATGGAGAGGCATCCAGATAGTAGGAAATACGTGAAATGGAATTTAGAAAATACTGCAACTATACTCTCTGAACAATTTCCTAGAAGTCATGTATTTATTGTTCGTCCAGCCAGGTAAAACACTCATAATTATAGGAAGTAAAATTGAAATATTTTACTATCAATTTTATGTGACTAATTTATTGTTAGCTAATAAAAATTAGAACAAATTATTTTAAATATTGTTTATTAATAATTTTCTATTTTCTTATCTTTATATTAAGTTATTTATATGATTTTTTTTGTTTCAGAATGTTAATAACTAAAAATGCAGTCTACAGTTGTTTTGATAATTTTGTGCCAGGAGATAAATATGGTACACCCTCATTTTGTCCGATGCACAAGGCTTTAAAACATTTAAGAGAAATTCTCCTTTGCTGTCTAGAACATGTTAAAACATTAAAAATGGGAGAAGTATGCATCAAAAGAGAAAAACATAACATATAAAAAATTTTATAAACCAATTATACACTGATTTTATTCAACTTTGATATGTGATTGTATTTATAATTCATATTTTTAAGAGATATTCTTGAAAGATATATTTAATTTATATAAATCAATTTAAACATTGAATTAGATGCTGAATATTAATATTAAATATTATTAAATTTAAGGTATCAAATTTTGATCAATATTGAATACATAATTTAATTTACATTTTTTAGGATATCGATGATGAGCATAATATTGAAGCGACAAATTTAAATCTAATGGGCTTCAGCAAAGGATGTGCGGTTTTAAATCAATTTCTTTATGAATTTCACTATTATGCTGAAAATCCAAATGACAATATTAATATAAATAATTTTATAAAACTTATCAAAAGTATGTGGTGGTTGGATGGTGGACATAATGGTTCCAAAAATACATGGATTACAGAACACAGCATACTTCGATCCTTTGCAAAATTAAGTGAGATGATTCAACATATAAATATCTCTAAATAATATTCTTGTAATAATATTTTGATGTATAATTAATATTTTTTATTCTTTTTTTTAGAAATAAACACTTATGTACATGTTACACCGTATCAAGTGAGAGACACTCATCGGCCATGGATTGGTTTAGAAGAAAATAATTTCAATGAAATCTTACAAAATATGGGAGTATCTGTACAACGAACTTTACATTTTGGCGATAAAACGCGAAGTTTATCATCTCACTTTAATATTCTTACAGATATTGGAAATAATGCAGAATAAACTTGTACATTTCTTAAATGTTGAATGTTGAAAATATATTAATTGAGCATTTATCAAAAATGAAAAAAAAATTGGGGTAGAGTGATAGATTGTTTTCTCACTTGAGACTTTCAAAACAAACATAAAATTATATGTGAATTATGATCTTATTGATAATATAATTCCTGTTGCAAAGATTATTTAAACAAATAATTTAATAGAATCTATTTTATGGAATATTCCTGCAATATATACATTTTTTGTTCACAATGTACTTTTAAAATCTAGTCATAAATAATAAAATTTATTAAGTACAAATGTATGTGATATAATATTTACAGTATTACAATACTATTACAAATTACTGTACAACTTTTATGATATTACTATATGATATGATATGTGATATTACAATATGGTATTTTTTGAATAATAACTAATTAAAATTAATAGATTATAATTGCTTATTATAATACCCTAAAAAAATATAATAAATTCATCATTCTCAATGATTTTTATGCAAATTTGACTGCATCTTTTATTTTTATAAATTTTATTCTATTTTTTATTTTCTGTCATATTTTATTAATAATTGTAACCATTTTTACAAATATAAAGCAAAAAATAAAAAAATATACATGTTTATGCATATATGTGAATATATATATATATATATATATATATATATGTGTATATATATATATATATATATATATATGTGTATATATATATATATATATATATATATATATATATATACACACACATGTGTATGTATATATCTACATATATGATATATACATATATATTAAAAAATATAATAAAAAACTAATATATGAATTAATTTATATCAATAAAAAGTACCTCTCTGTAAAAAAGAAAAATTACTTATATTTATATGTTATATATGGATTTTTTTTATATACATTATCATATTTTTATTATATTTTCTTCCATATCTCATTTCACATATTGTGTGCTAATTTGAAAAATTTATATTATTTAGTTAAATGAGATACTTTCTCAAATCTGACTCCTTGTTATTCATATTTCCTGTATTTTTATACATTTTTATATATTAATGAAATCATCTTTTGAGGTTTTTAAGCTAACGAAAAATAAAAAATTGAGTTTTAAATTTCAATACATACTATTACTCAGTAACTTCCAAAATAATTTGCTAATAATGAAGAATTTGACTTTTAATTTTTTTATGTTTTTTAATGTCAAACGATAATCTTAATTTCTCAACTCTTGTTTTACACAAAAAATTGTTGAATAAGTATACTTTCAAAAATTTGAAATGATAAGAATTGTTCTAAGCATCTACTTATCATTTATATTTGTTATAATATATATAAGATCTATACTAGAAATAATATCATTTTCTTTTCATCTTCTACAGAAGATTTATAGAAGATTCTTCACTTTCCTCTTACTTAACATTTATTTGGACACTTAACTCCATGAAAATTTACATTTCCCGATCCTGTAATACAAAATAAATATAAATTAATAAAAACAGAATAATTATAAATTAACACAAAATAATTATAAATTAATAAAAACACAAATAATATGCTGAAATTGTTCAATATATATATATATATATATATATATATATATATATATATATCTAATTAAATAAATAAAATGGAATGATTTTAAAAACTACCTTTAAGCTCGTATAACAGTGCTGCTTCAGCCCATTCATCAGAACCATCACAACAATCACAATATCCATCATTGACCTTATACGATGGTATTCTTGCTGCAATTTTATGCATTTTCAAATTTTTATGAATATCTGATTACAATAAGATTCAAGATTTTATTACAATACCTGCTGATCTTCTAGAACTAGTCTCACAATTGAAGACACCATTATTGCACGCATTGGTACCTGGTTCATCGCTTCCATCCATCGGACAGTCGCAATAATCATCATTAATTTTCACAAAATCAATTTCCTTTTTTGAAGCAAAACATACGAATTTCCCGTTAATATTAGGAAGATACTTGGCAATATCTTCATTTTGCGTACCACGCAATGACACAGTCAGACCTTCTTTATCACGTATGAGTTTGGAATACTGCGGCTGCTGCCATTTGGAACTTCGCTTGCCAACAATCACCTGATGATTATCTCGTGACGACCCGGCGATCAGTTTGCCCACAGTTTCCCGATTCAGCTCCTTGAAGTAAAACAGCTGATAAAACACGAATATCACAGCGACGACGAAGACACATATCAGCATGTGCTTGAGTTTCTTTCGTAAAAATCGTCGTTTCCAGGACACCTCGATTTTCATATCTGCCGGCTAGTCGTTTCAAAAGTCGTTGCAAAACAAATCTCTCCCCCGAGTGCGTTTCGAACATACATCCGATACAAAATAGTCATAGTGTTTAGAGATTTCTACACCTTACATAAAATTGTAACGTCGAATATTCACAACTGATACCTTGCAGTTCGAATATTAATGTTGACGTGTCTCTTCGAGTTCGATAATTTTATTGCTGTGTAAACACACGCACACACACGCACTATATGCAACATTCAGTAAAAAAAAAATTTAACAAAATATATTTTAAGTGCTGAAAGTGTGCGAAGAAAGCGCAGCTAGAACGAAGACATGTGCAGCAAATTGTGACATAACCTCTTGTTTACTTCGAACAATTGAAAGGGACGTTGAAACATTTAGAGGCATATTTTTTTCTATGTCTAACTTTTTCCACAAAACATATTGTACAGCAGTGAATGCGGGATTTTCTAAATTATCAGAAATGACAAATCAAAAAATTCCATTAACTTTTGAAATATTCTCCGAATGTCAAACCACGAAAGCCAGAACTGGCAGAGTGACACTTGTTCATCATCATGTGAATACGCCGGTATTCATGCCAGTGGGAACTCAGGTTTATAACACTTTTTTTTTTCCTTGCAATTTTGCTTAAATTCTATATATATATATACATATACATATACATACATACATACATACTGTATATATACTATATATATATATATATATATATATATATATATATATATATATATATATATATATATGAGTTGACACAGTTATTCTCTCTTAGCATATAAAATATTAAAAATAAATTCTTAATTTAAATTGAGGTGAAACTTTCATGAAGGATCATTATTTATAACTTTTAATATTTTGTAAAAAACATTACAATTTTGTTAAAAATTCAAACATCTTGACATTTATTAATAAAATCTTATTTTTTTTGCATATTTATATAAAATTTACTTGAAAAAAGACTTTATATTTCACTTATCATTTTATCTCAATTATATTAATTGAAAGATTAATAATACTTATACGTCTTTTTTCACAAAAATTTTTCATATCTAAAGAATAAAGTTATTTCGTTATTTATATTCAATTATGATTACTATATTATTTTATTATTGCATATGTACTGTGTACATATTATATTTCATTACTGTATGTAGTATGTATATATGCATGTATAAATAATAAAATTTAATTTCATCAAACATTGCATAATTTTCAGGGAACATTGAAAGGATTGCTGCCCCAACAACTAGAGCAATTGGATTGTCAAATCATTCTTGGAAATACCTATCATCTTGGAACTAGGCCTGTAAACATAAAAATCATACCCTATCAGTGAAAAAATATTGAAATACAAGTCATTTTAATTACATTATAATAAATTATATATATTGACAGGGTGCAGATGTCCTGCGTAAAGCTGGAGGTTTACACAAATTCATGAATTGGAAAAGAGCTCTTTTAACAGATTCGGGTGGTTTCCAAATGGTTTCCTTGTTACATCTAGCAGAAATAACAGAAGAAGGTGTTAAATTTAAATCACCATATAATGGTATATTTCATGAAATATATATTTTCTAATGTATGTTAAAATAGAGCTTATAAATATAATTTTATTAATTTTTATATAATATTTCACAGAATCTGAGTGCATGTTAACACCTGAACATTCAATTCAAATCCAAAATGCAATTGGCGCTGACATAATTATGCAACTTGATGATGTTGTAAAAAGTACTTTAACTGGTCCAAGAGTAGAAGAAGCAATGCATAGGTACATGCATACCGTTATTTTAAATATATTTTTTAATGTTAGATTATGTGTATTTAAATGTTATCTAACTTATAATTATTCTATTAATCTGACACACTAAATGATTTTAGAACAACACGTTGGTTAGATCGTTGTTTGTCAGCACACGAAAAATCAAATGAGCAAAGTATATTTCCAATCGTGCAAGGTGGTCTTAATCCTGAATTACGATCCGAGAGCGCACGACAATTAATTAAACGAGAAGTGAATGGATATGCCATAGGAGGTTTAAGGTAAATATATTATTAGATTATTGATTAATATAAATAATAAGTTACAAAAGAATAAAAGAATTCTTATATTTAACATAAAAATAAACTTAAAATCTTATATATAATAATAATAATAATTTTAGTGGTGGGGAAAGCAAGGACGATTTTTGGAAAATGGTTCATCTATCAACAAATATTCTTCCAAAGAATAAACCACGATATCTTATGGGTGTTGGATTTGCGGTTGATCTAATTGTATGCAGTGCATTAGGAATCGATATGTATGATTGTGTATTTCCAACGAGAACGGCTGTGAGTATTTTAAAATATGTATTAAGAAGGTTTTGATGCGCAAGATATTAAAAAATTAAAGTGTTGAAATAAAATTTACAGAGATTTGGTTGCGCTTTGGTAAAAACGGGACAGCTCAATTTGAAGCAAGCGCAATATAAAAAAGAATCGATACCAATAGACGAATCGTGTAACTGTAGCACCTGTAAGACTTACACACGCGCTTATCTGCATCAAATCGCTACAGTAGAGACGATATCGTGTCATTTGTTAACTGTTCATAATATTGCATTTCAAATGAAACTAATGCAAGACATCAGAGACAGTATAAAAGAACAAAGATTCCCTAGATTTATACAGGAATACATGTTGGCAGTTTACCCTGATAAAGATTATCCAATATGGATAATTAATGCTTTGGAAGCTGTCAATGTTACTCTATTGTAAAACTTTTGCACTAATATAACTTTTATTCTTATAATTTATTTTTTTAATTATATTAAGATGCAATGTACACAATAATATATATAAATACTTTCCATTTCATGTATATAAACATAAGTTATCATTTGTTATTAATATACAATAATCATGGATTAACTAATATCAGTGTTTTCACATTTGTAAATGAAAAATCAATCTTCTATTATATAAAACAAGTATAGTGTATATTAATTCATACAGTGATGTGTTTTTTTACAGAAGATTTAGTTTAAAATCAGTTAAATAATCATACCTGAAAGAGATTTACATGTTTTATTCTGCCATTTTCTTCTTTTGCACATTTTTTGTTGGAGATGTAGAGAATGAGGCACAATTATAAATAATAATATTAGTTTCATCACATGAAATCATCCGAATCATATCCATTATTTTCCGTATTTGATGTCATATTAGATGTATTAAAGAGAGAATTATAACTTCTAAAAAAATATATAATTATTCTTATATTAGTTAAGTTATTTAAAAATAGTATGTTGTGTACATGCATTAAATAATATCATTAAAATTAAAATATTGATATAAAATCATAGTTTACCTCATCTCTGCTTCTTCCTGACGTTGTTTTTCTTCTGCCTTTTCCCTTTCTTTCTGTTCTCTTAAGAGCTTTTTCTTATCTTCTCGTTCATTTTTATCTCTCTGTTCTCTTTCAGCTCTAAAGTTTACTTCTTCAGAACGTTTCGTCTTATTAAGCCGATTTACAATGGCATTTATTCGCTTGGCAACATGAATCTTACGAACATCTTTGTCTTTATAAAAACCAACTTGGCCAACCTCCATACCTTGTGTTTTTTTCAAATTTGACCACATTGTATATACCACATCAATATCATTCATTTTATTCCCTTCAATGCTGTTTGCTTTTACTAATTGTGCAGCATCTTCCAACACAGTACTAGGAATGTCGTCTATTGTCTGGCCCTATAATTTTGGAGAGAATAAAAAAGAAAACTGACCAATGTTTTATATATCATATTCTTTACCATCAATTAAATAGAGCATCTTTAATCGATAATTAAACTTACATGTCGAAGTCGAAGATATACATGAGCAGAGGAATATTTATCAACATGAAACCATACATCTTCTGGCCAACCCCATTTGATAAGATCTTCATCTATATTAAACAAAATCCAATTAATCGTAAATTAAGTTATAAGAAAAATTTTTTTATTAATTATGAATAATATATAATATTTTCGACTTACTCTCATATTTATCAATTCCCATAAACAAGGTAATAGGTGGCTGTACCACTAAAATACAAACTCAATATATTATTCTAACCTCTCAAAATAATAAAATATTTTATTAATAATTTAAAAATACATATAATACTAATCTCTCATTTATTAAAAATAAAGATAATGTTGAAAAATTAAAAAAAATTACCTTCACTTGTGAAATAATAAACCATTATTGATGAAATTTTCAATTAAAACATACGCAACAGAGTTAGTCGCCAAAAATATTTTTGTAGCGCCTGGTAGCGCCACTGACGATACTACCAGCAGATTTTCCATAAAGGTGCAATTTCATTGACGCTAGAAACCAGCGGCAAATTAAAATCACTACACTTTCTCTAGATATGGCGTCAATAAAATAAAGTTCAAACAGTTTCAACTTTTTCAGTGTGTAAAGCGGCCTTTTCATTGACGCTACTTTTTAGCGTCAATGAAATTGCACCTTAACAATTGGCAGCCCTACGAGATAGGCTGTGCAGCACTGCGCGTATATAAAATAAATTTGAAATCGCTTCTAGCCTAACCATCTTCACGCGATCGACTTTATTTGAATTGCACGGCATCGCATCGAATTATGATGCGGCGCCGATTTGTTCGAACGTAATTCAGGACATCGCGATGCTGTATAAGCGTCGAATGAGCACGAATTGTCACGCAAATATGATAAATCACATCTACTCACCGTTCACCGGCTGTTCCACAGGTCGCTCCACTCGCTCGCCTCGGGACGTCCCATTCCGATCTTGATGCACACGATATCATCAACGCGAACGCGCGACACTTTATTCGGCACTCCCGATATTCGCTCGCATCCGATAATCATCATCAAGGGCGCAAATAACGCGACGCGACTTCGCTCCATCTTCGCGATCGCGCTATCACTGAACTGTGAAAAATAGCTGTCGCGCACTTTCACCGACATATTATGAAAGTCGCGCGATCATCCTTGGACACTTTCGATGCTCTTTCACTCGCGACATTCGTTTCAAAACGGTTAAAAGACGCGAAAAATGCGGACGTACGACGATCCATGTAACTGCGTATGACTCCGATTCACGTATGACGCGTATGACGTAGCAGTGACGCGTATGACGTACAACACGCGCTAACATGGCGGCCGAACCAGTGCGCAGAAACGAATGCGCACTGGTTCGGCCGCCATGTTAGCGCGTGATTGCTACGTCATACGCGTCATACGTGAATCGGAGTCATACGCAGTTACACGGATCGTTGTACGTCCGTATTTTTCGCGTCTTTTAACCGTTTTTAAACGAATATCGCGAGTGAAAGAGCGTCGAAAGTGTCTAAGGATGATCGCGCGACTTTCATAATATGTCGGGGAAAGTGCGCGACAGCTATATTTCACAGTTCAGTGATAGCGCGATCGCGAAGATGGAGCGAAGTCGCGTCGCGTTATTTGCGCCCTTGATGATGATTATCGGATGCGAGCGAATATCGGGAGTGCCGAATAAAGTGTCGCGCGTTCGCGTTGATGATATCGTGTGCATCAAGATCGGAATGGGACGTCCCGAGGCGAGCGAGTGGAGCGGCCTGTGGAACAGCCGGCGAACGGTGAGTAGATGTGATTTATCATATTTGCGTGACAATTCGTGCTCATTCGACGCTTATACAGCATCGCGATGTCCCGAATTACGTTCGAACAAATCGGCGCCGCATCATAATTCGATGCGATGCCGTGCAATTCAAATAAAGTCGATCGCGTGAAGATGGTTAGGCTAGAAGCGATTTCAAATTTATTTTATATACGCGCAGTGCTGCACAGCCTATCTCGTAGGGCTGCCAACTGTTAAGGTGCAATTTCATTGACGCTAAAAAGTAGCGTCAACCATTGGTTGAACAAAGAAGTAAGTAGTTGCTTCATTGTTCAACCAATGGTTGACGCTACTTTTTAGCGTCGATGAAATTGCACCTTTACACACTGAAAAAGTTGAAACTGTTTGAACTTTATTTTATTGACGCCATATCTAGAGAAAGTCTAGTGTTTTTAATTTGCCGCTGGTTTCTAGCGTCAATGAAATTGCACCTTAAAGCATCGTCCACAATGAGATTTTAAGGAGACTTTAGGCGTAAGACTTAAGAAATTGACCAATCACAGTCAAGTATTAAGAGAATATTCAATTGTGATTGGTCAATTTCTTAAGTCTTACGCCTTAAAGCCTGGAGCACATAAAAAAACTTAGACAGTAAACTTAAAACTTAAACGAATCGACCAATCACAGTCGAGCAATAAGGCAGAGGCTGCCTTATTGTTCGACTGTGATTGGTCGATTCGTTTAAGTCTTAAGTTTACTGTCTAAGTTTTTTTATGTGCTCCAGGCTTAAGTCTCCTTAAAATCTCATTGTAGACGCCGCATAAAAGCTACAGGTTGATTGGCTACAAATTTCTTGGCCAGATGAGAGACGTCATGTCATGGCGGCCCGTCATGTCAGTCTTCTCTCCGATTGTCTCTGATTGTGTCAACTGTCAACTTGCGTGATGTTTGTGGAAATCACTCGTTAAATGATAAATAATAAATGATAAATAATTAAAATGATGTATAATCTATAAATATCGATCAAAAATATAACTTTAGTATATACTGTAAGATATATATAAAATAATTGAATTAATAATATGCAAAAGCATTATCCATAATAATATGGATTTACCAGTAAATGAGGAAAATCTACAAAAAATATTGGAAAAATTATCTGAAGATGAGGTTTAAATTCGTTATTTATTTTTAATTAATATATGCGAATTTTTGTGCGCAAATTATATTTTGTAAATTTATCACTTATATATTGTAATTAAAAGCTACATTTATTTTACATTTATTGCTATTGAATATAAATAACTATCCATGTATACATTATAATTTTCTTTAGATATTTATTGTTAATTTATGATATATTTAATAAAAAAATATGATAACAGGTTTCTATTAAAGAAAATCTGGACACAATTCTTAGTCGACAATGTCATATAGAAGCAAAACTACAAAATATTGGGAAAGTATTGCCAAATGTCATAGTAATACATACAGAAGGAGAAAAGTTTCGTGATATGATTACTCGTACTAATGAGTTAGCTAAGAACGTTAGTGCCAAAGTAAGACAATTGGATTTAGCAAGAGTAAGTGATCAATATTGTGATCAATATTATATTTAAATAAAAATTTATAGTTTGTAATTTTGTATGAATTAATAAATATTATAATTTTGCTTAATAGAGCAGAGTATGTGAATGCCAAAGTAGAGTAAATGATATACTAGATTTGCAATTATGCAGTGAAGGAGTAGCAACTGCACTCCGCAATGAAGATTATGAGCAGGGTGCTGCTCATGTGCATCGTTATTTAGCAATGGATCAACAATTGCTGGAAAGAACAGCTGAGGATGTATCAGAAGATCATATTAGTATCAGTAGTTCTTTGATCACTTTGCAACAAGCTGCAATGGAATTGAGAGCTGTTGTTACACATAAATTTGATGAAGCAGTAAAATCTGAAGATTTGGCATCTGTTGAGAGATTTTTCAAGATATTTCCATTATTAGGGATGCATTTAGAAGGACTAAAGAAATTTTGCAGTTACTTGTGTACTAAAGTATGATATATTAAATATATTTAAAATTACATATATAATATATTTGAAATACACATATTTTAAATATAATAATAAAGTCTTTATTAAAAAAGAATGATGACTGAAGCCTTTATTTTTAATATTAGCTACAAGAGACTTCACAGAAGAATCTACATGCAGCACTAGAAATTAAAAATAATGATAAGAGAGCAGATGTTATTTTTGCTGACACTATGACTCTCTTATTTGAAGGAATTGCACGTATTGTAGAAGTACATCAACCAATCATTGAAACTTATTATGGGCCAGGTAGACTTTCAATGACAATCTTGATTTTACAAAAAGAATGTGATAGGTAAGCTTATTTAGTAGAATGCATATCAAAAATTTATATATTTTAAATCATTTTTAATTTATATATTCTATATTTAGACAGGTCAAGAAGATTATTACAGTATTTACAAAACATAGATGTATATCTAAAAATGTACAAATGGTAAATGAATATTTACGCAAACCAAATCCTGAAAAATTTGATCCTAAAGAGCTTGATATCCGTTTGGGAGAAATTACTATAATGCATTCAAGAGCAGAACTTTATATACGTTTCTTGAAAAGAAGGATTAAGGTGGAAAATTATTATCTATCTTGCTATATATTATATAATTAACAATTTAAACATATATATAGATAAAATATATTTACAGAATGATATAGAGATCAGTACTACAGATGAAACACAACGTATAGAATTGTTAAATGATTTTGAAACAGCTATGAACAATTCTGAGTTAGCACATGGAATGCAGGAGCTACTCGGCGCTTATCTCGCATTAGAAAGATATTTCCTGGAGGAGAGCGTGAATAAGGCTTTGGGAATGGATACATTAGATCCAGATCAGCAAACTTCCAGTATGGTTGATGATGTTTTCTTTATAGTACAGAAATGCATACGGTATATATGACTAGACTTACAAATACAATATAATGATAATACTAATTGAAAAAATAATAATACAATTTTGCTGCAGACGTGCTATGTCGAGTTGGAGTATAGATGGTGTCTGCGCCGTCGTCAATATGGCTTGCGGCATCTTGGAAGGTGAATTTGCAAACAAATTGAGAAACAGACTACGTCAAGGTTATCCAGCAGGTTACTTGGATCTAGCACAAGCATACAGCGCTCTTCAAACAAGTATACAACATGGTCGTTTGCAAACTTCGGACACGGAATATGCTCGCCTTACATTCTTGGTAAAGTAAACTTTACAATTTATTCGTAAGACACAATATAATATAATAACAAACTTGTATAATATATAATAGTCATATTTATTAAAATGTATTTTTACACAATTTTTACTATATATCTATAATTATTATTTATGTTTTTTTTTATGATTTAGGCATATTTAAATAACACTGATGTAAGCACAGAGTATGTAGAAACATTATGCAAAAGTCTCAGTGCAGAAATAGATGCAACATTTCCCAATATGCAAAAGAAGGATAGAGGGAAAATCGACAGTTGTTTAACCAGTCTAAAAGCAATTATACTGATTTTACGAGGCATTGTTGATTGTGGTCTAGAACAGTTACGTGTTAGTGCTGTAAAACCCAGAGTTACTCCTTGGGTTGATGCATTTTTATCTATAGATCATCATATTAATGAAGTATGTATTTTATAACAGAAAAATATAAAAAATTTTTTTTATTTTTAAATACAATGATTGATACACACAGGATGAATTGTTGAGATATGAAACAGATGAGCCATTTGTACAAACATTAATTATGAACCTAGAAGGTCTACTTCAAGGATTCAAAGATAGTTTAACACTCTCCAATTATGATGCACTTATTGGACTTTTAACTGCAGAAGTTACAGCCCGTTTAGAGAAAGTGGTCTTAAAATCGACTTTTAATCGAGTACGTACACTAATTTTAAATTATTATTTCATAATTTTTTTAAAAATAATATTTTCATAAATAGTTTTATTTAGTCTTATAAGCACATAAATATATCGTAAATAGCTTGTATTTTTTAAATGCAGTTTATTAATAAAATGTTGAAATAAATTTGAACATTTTAGGCAGGAGGTTTAATATTAGATAAAGAAATAAGATCATTAGCCAGTTATTTGGCAGCTGCCACATCATGGTCAGTGAGAGACAAATTTGCGCGTTTAACACAGATTGCTACTATTCTGAGCATAGAGAAAGTGGAGGAACTCGTTGATTATTGCGGTGCGGATGCGATAGCCTGGCGATTAACACCATTGGAAGTTCGACGTATCGCTTCTCTAAGGATAGATTTTCGTCCAGAAGACATTAAGAAATTAAAATTGTAACTTTCTTTTGTTATCTTTTATTTTTTTTGTATCAAACATTCAGTAATATGTAAAAATCAAATATTTGTATATTATATTTCATATGTGTGTGTATGGTGTGTGTGTGTATTCTTATGGAATAAAATATAAAAGAATATATAATAAATGCATATAATAAATATATTTAAAATAAGATAATAAATATAAAATTTTATATATATATATATATATATATATATATATATATATGTGTGTGTGTGTAAATGTCTATATTCTTTCATTTTATAATATATGTATATCATAATTTTTATAATATAATTCTTTTCATGTAATAAGCTTTATAAAATATAAATAAAAGATAAATAGGCTTTATAAAATTTTGCATTTATATTAAGTCACAAATTTTTCATTTAAATAAAAACTTACAATTACATATTTAAACTATATATTTCTCTTAAGCTTTTCTCTGATTACTAATTGTACGAGATAGTGTTAAAGACGGTCAGTTATGGATAAATTTTCGTCACAGTCAAATAAGCTCGATGAGTTCGTAAATAATTAAAAAATAACATTACCAAACGTATTAAACAAAAACAAACATACGAACATTTTATTATACAGAAATACTGTTTTATTATCGAGAATAGAAAGTTCTCTCAATAGAAAATCGAGTATAGAGTATATCAGTCAGTTTTTTTAAGTAATTGTTGCATGTATGTATAAAATTTAATAATATGATTCTTGTAATTCTAAAGGATTTATAAAGCATTAAGATGTTACAAAAATACAAACTTTGCAAATATTTTAAATGCTTCTTCCTTTATATAAAATATGCTTTCGAATGTTCCACTAATTATTATATAGAATTATATGGTCTTAAACAATTTGACAACTGTTGAATAGAATGGAAAATGTTTCTTACACTATACATTTCTTGCTAAATTTAGTTTTTGAAACATTTTATATTCATAAATACGTCACAGTACTAATATAAAGAATAATAATGAAATGGCACGCAAGAATTCTCAATTGTGTCATTTCGGCCGCCAAAACGTCATTTTTGATGTCTTATTTTGCAACGTGAAGCGTTGTATGCAAATTTTTGATATGTGATTATTTGTTATTGATTTTATCATGTAATATTTAATGCACATCTAACTGTATTTTATTTTATAACAATATATTAATTTTTATAAATATTTCTTTGATTAAAGAAAATGTATTTTTGATAAAAACTATTAGATGTTGAGTTAAAAAATATATTGAAAAAAACAACAGTATAATAATTGCATTAACTGATAACAGTATTTAATATTGATAGACTTATTCATTGTTTCAGTTACCAATAGAACATGGTCATACTGCCTATAAATAATTGTTCTGATATAATCCTTAAAATTATATGAGAAGAACTTAAGACTTTGTTTTAATAATTATTATCGATAAAGTTTCAAAGAGATATTTCAAATATCACTTTATAAGTATTATAACTAATATACATATATCATTGATTAACAGAGATATTTAATATTATGGATTGTGATAATGGATAGTTCCGCAAAAAGTATATACTTCTTTTTGGAGATTAATTGCAACTTTCACCTGTACATAAGTATCCATCTTTTATTAAATTATCAAAACTAGAAGTTGAGAAGTATATTGCTACAGTGTGGGTTCTATAAATTTATGGTCTTTATCTGTTTTTCAGTTATGGTGATTTAATATGCGACAACAAGAAGATAATTCTTATCGAGATATATTAACAATAGTTCGAGTTAGAATGATAACAGACTTAAATGTATCTATTTTTTAGAAACAGGAATGTCAATTTTAGAGGAATTAATTGTGACGGCTTATTATAAGAATTATGTAATTATTTGCAAAGCTTATCAATAAGTACAGTTTGTATATTTCTAATTTATGCATTATGTGATATTTTGAATATTGCAATGTTAAATCATATTTCTTCGAATGAGATAAAACTTGTTGCTTAAGATCGGACAAAATGTGTACCATATTTAAAGAAAAAAGTTATAAAGATATTAAATGAAGATGATGAAGATAGTTCCCAAAGAGCTGGAATTAGCAAGAATCGTAACTGCAAAATTAATAGCACATATAATGATTAGAAGAAATATCAATATTAATTAGGTCTTGTAAATGGTAAGATTGGTACATTGGTACAATTGGTACAATAAAAAAAATATTACTGTCTAACTTTTATTTACTACACAATTTCAATATTTAAAAAATGATAACCCTGTCAATAAAGTAAAAGCTGTTTGGCAATTATTGTAACTAATATTGTTTATTATCCAATAATATCGATTGACTATGCTATCAGACTATATTATCAGTATTTTATGTTATTTGGAGAAAATTTTCTAGATTTTCATCTAAATGCAATTATTGTTTATTTTATTTTTTATGTATATAATTCAAGTGTGTGGTATCTTTATCTGTATCTCAGATATAAAGAAGTGATATCTTTTATTAAAATATCTAAGATAATGTAATTAATGTGCACTGAGTACAATTTTTTCAAACCATAGCAATTTACTGGCCGGCTATTCTAATCGGTCAATTTCAATTATAATCGACCCCGCAACCTATAGTGTAATACGAATTTAAAAGCGTATTTAATGAGCGCGGCATTCATAAATATTATATGTCTTTGTTTAACTTTTAGCGAACAACAAGGATAAGATGATCTGCGAGCATTGCAATCATTAAATGGAACGCAGCCATAATTAACATTGGTCGATTGACATTGACATTGTGGATACGGCTTATTCGTTATTGTTGTCAAATGAATACATGCTTATTTTCTGTAATTCTTTGTTCCAGTGTATTATTTTTATATATCCTAAATTGTTTTAAATATTATCTTAAAAGTATCTAGATAAAATATTTAACTAATTCATCTTTTACCTAGATACTCAAACCGAATTATCTTATCTGAGATACACGAATATATGATTTATCTAATCTGTATCTAGATTATTTTAAGTTATATAAGCGCAACACTGGTTATTACATTTACGAAACAATAAATAATGCATGCTAGTAATGCAGTAATTCAAATATGTATATGTATATTATGCTATTTTCATGAAGTGCTATTTTGAGCAAATATCGGAAAATGATCGGAAAATAAAAACAGATGTGCTATCAATTAATTTAAAAGATTGCGAGAATATGATTATTACGTTTTCTTTATTTCGGTTTCTCTTTCTCTTCTGTTTTTTTTCTTATGAAGTTGCACCATTTGAAGGTTACAATAATTTAAATACTAAAAGAAACGTTGGAAGAATTTTTTCAAAGATTCTAAATTATTTATACCATTTTATTTAGGACTGTTAATAATTATTTGTAATAATTTTAATGTTATTTGTAATTGTATTGCTTACAAATTATGTTATATTAATAATAATGTATTATATGAGTGTTCATTCGGATACATTTTGTATCTAGTAAGGAGATATGAAATAGAGAGAAAATACAGAAACTAAAAATATAATAATTGCAGTATCGATTATCTTGGTAATTTACATCTACGTTATTGTTTAATATTTTAACGCTGTTAAAGCAACGATATAATCAAATGTCGTCTTATTATACTATTAATGTACATACATGTAACATTAGCACGCTAATCACTTTCAACTTGGAATACATATAATAGTTAACATATAGAATTGTCACAGTTTGCGATCATGGTCGACACTATTGAAAAGGTTTTAAAACCTTTTTTCTTAATCTTTTGTTTCTTTGGTTTTGAAATTTTTAGGAATAGCTCGAGTTATTTAAGATTTTGCTTGAACATCTTTTTTATAATAATTCCGTGGAGTGTTTATGCTTGTGCCTTATATTATATGATAATTTTTGGAGCGAATTATTTATTCAAAGATTATTTGAGAATTATCGTAAAAGTGATAAATTTGTTCGTACAAATAATAGCTACAATCACCACTATTCGCAAACGTGAGGTATGCATTTTTTCTTTGTGAATGTGTTATAATAACTTACTGTATTATTTACAGTGAAGTAAATAATACGAAATATGATTTCTCTAAATTCAAAATTATTTTTATTAAAATTATACACATTATAATAACAAAAAACGAACAGTTCCTCATCGAATCCCGAATAGACATGAGGCGCACAGTGGTATACTATATTAATAATTGTAAAAAAGCACGGAATCTGGTGTGTTATGCTTCTAACTATTAATTTAAGCAAAAAAGCTTATTTACGTGTAATATCTTTCGGTATTTATTTTATTATTTTTACTCGATTTGCTAGATCTGCTGTGACGTCGCATAGCATAACTATAGTATATATTTAATAGTATATTTAATAGTATATATTTAATTGACTGTTTGAAGCAGAGTGCTTGCTGGACCTCCGCGGGATGCAGTTTAGCGTCATCTGCGCATCGAGAATTAAATTCGTTTAATATAACGCGTCACTATCTGTGATATATATTGTTAACATCGCGCTGAAGAAGGATCACAGGATGATCCGAAACGTTCGCTTTTTGTTATTATAATGTGTTTTTTAATAAACTAATATTAAAAAAAGAAAGAAGTGTTGCTTCCCTGCGCTCCAACTACGGCGCGTTCTTATGCCATTTTCTTTTTTCATTTTTTGATTATGTGAGCCAAGTCTCTAATTATTAAAATTATTTTTATTATTTGTTATCTTGTTATTAGTTATCTGGTAAAATTAAATTAAATTATATTTGACAAAATTTAATTTGATTAAATATGAAATAAATAATCTATTGTTTTATTTATAGAACGTGTAAAATGTATATAATGTATAATGTGTAAAACGTGTAAAATGAATATAATGTATAATGTGTATAAAATAATCTTATGTTTTTCAAATACAATTTTACTTTCACTTATTGGATCATTAAAAAAACCAAAATTACATATATTTAATTAATAAATTTTGCTTTGTATATCTTATATATTTCATATAAATAAATATAATATATATTTAATGAGATTTTTATGATACACACACAATATACACACATAACGCACAT